TGTGAGACTACTACTACATACATACGTCAGTACGTACTTTTGACCTGTGTGCATTCCACGAAATAAAGGGAGGAAAAGCATCATATGTAAGGGCGCGAGCCCTGCGCTGCGTGGCGTGGCGAGGAGGGAGGAGGTGGCGGGTCGGTGACAGCGCCCTCCGCCCGCCTCCTTCCTCGCCCGCCCGCTCGCCCGCGCCGTCGCCCGCGCGCTGGGCGACGGTGCTTTGGGTCACGACCGTCGGCGTCTGGTGACGTTGCAGTGGGAGGGAGGGCATTCCCACCGCAGTAGTGCATTCGTGTTGCAGATGACCTGCCTTCAGGCGCACGCCCCGTGCAATTTTTGATGTAGCATTGGCTTTGAGATATGTTCCTGCCATTCCAAACAGCACCTACTTAATATTTTGCTAAACAGATTGTATAAGATTCATAGTAGCCGTGGATCGTATAACATTCGTCCATTTCATGTATTTACAATATGAAGCACGGTAACATATCCTGAAGGCAATGAAGTCATTCTGATATTAACAGGTTTCGTAGTACTATTGATTAGAATGCTGATCAATTATTGATTTCTTTAGATAAAATTTCGAATGCCTGGAATGTGTGTTAAGGTCTGTTAATATATTCATTTGCGAAAAATAATTTTGTATGTTATTTCGAAATTTATTGCTGTTGATATATTTGTGGTTATTGATTATCTCTCTAAGCTAATAATATATTTCCATGAACAACTATTCGATTTTCAAATGCAGTGTATGTAATTGTATTTTGGAGATGAAAGCTTTAAATGAACTTTTGAAGCTAATCCCAGAATATCAGTTATATTTGCAATACCTTTTGTATAAACTACATCGATCACTATAGCTGCACAAACCGTGAATAGACCTTAATTTCAAAACATTACGGGCTATTAATGGTATAGCTATTTACAATTTCTTTTCATATTTTCAACCTGCAACTTCACCAGAATCTGACATTGTTGGCGCGCTTGCCTGCTTGCAACATCGCATTGTATTTTGCAAAATGGCTTTCAGCGCACAACATGGGAACAAAAACCACAGGCTACATGTTTTCTTTTGCCTGTGCTCTGCTCTGTACAGCGGCTGCCATTTTGGCAGCCGAGGAAGTAACACATGACAAGTGTTTGCACATTTTTTTCTGTCGGTGTAGATACCTTCACTAAAAGCTGCTCCGAAAATACATCTTGTCAGTTTAAAATTATCCCCTGAATCACAAGTATCCATCAAAGATAGTTCATATATCAATATGAATTTCAAGAATTATGTGACGTGAAAAGAATGTCTCAAATCTGATGTGTATTAAATGTTTTGAAAAACTTATGTACAACACCGAACATGTCAATGAGATTATTGGTGACTATACATTCATCATGGAAGAATATTGAGAATTATCTGCACAGAAACTACATAAAACGTTTATTATTATTCTATCATTACTCACTACAGTGTTTCCTATTTTTGTGCAGTATCTAAATAAACATGTGATCCCACTTATAGGAAAGATTTACACAAAAATCTTTACTCAGAACTGGATGTGAGGTTTGCATTCTTGTATCATTGATTCCGTCTCTCCCACATACACACATTCATACTAAGAGACTAATGAATGTAATAACATGCTCCATTGTCACAACGGATTGCGCGTGCCTCATATGACTCCGCCACCACCAACGCGCTACAACACAATGCGGTCACCGTTCCTTTGAAGGGTTTCATTTCATCACATTCCCATTAATACATTACACCTGCCGCCTATACCTGCCCCGCCGCGGGAGCACACCGCGGCATTTCAGCGCTCCTAAATTCATCGTCGGACTCGCAACGCCTCTAACAAAATTACGCCGCGCGGGCGCATTCTCTGGCGTAGCGGCTGCCACGTGTGCGGCGGGGCGGCGCGCCAACCGCCGCGCGAAACGCTGATGAACTTCATCCC